TACAGCCAGCAAGAAGGGTTGGAATATATAGAAACCTTCTCTCCTTTGGCCAAGATGGTCACAGTCAGGTCAGTTATAGCAGTTGCAGCAGCTAAGCATTGACATATCTTTCAAATGGATGTGTACAATGCCTTTTTCCAAGAGATTTTATTATCCCCAAGGGTTTCACTTATTAATTTTGATGATACCAAATCAACATAACTCTTAGTAAAAATATATTTACTTGTGGTAAATTTATTTTCATACAGAGTTGCTAAATAAAGAATGATCAAAGACGATATATAGAGGATTTGCAGAAGAATGAAGGAGATGTGGAAGATTTAATAAAGAAAGTTTATTCAAGAAAGATAATGTTGGTAAAGATTCAACCAAATATGGGAAAGAGAGTATCATGTAATGAATTTATCAAGGAAGATTATTTTCAGAGATTTAATCTCCAAGCATCATGGAAGGAATAATATTTGAAAGTCATATTTCGAATATTGAATGGTTTACCACAATATCAGAAGAAGACTCTACGGAAATTATGGAAGGAAAATTCTTAAATATCTTGAAAGGAAGATTGCTAAAATTTCGGAGAAGGTCTATTATTTTGTATAAGAAAGATACTACACGGCCAAGGAAGAATATATTTTCTATGGAAAGAAAATATATTATGAATGTAGTGCAATCTATATTATGGAAAGTTACTATTTTCTAAGATAAAGAAAGGAATACTTTCAATTGGAAAGAAAATATATTATGGGTATAATACAATCTATATTATGAAAAAAGAATAATTTATATAGGGACAATATTTGATTCCCTAAGTAGGAAAGAAATTCCCACTGTTATTATATGATTGAGAATTCCCTAAGCATTTCATGGTTATGGAGATAAATCAAGTAGAATCTTTGAAAAAGCAAGATCGTAACCAAGAGTAATCTGCAAAAGGAAAAGATATAAGCAAGAAACAATATTCATTGAATACATAACTATATACAAGATTGGTGCAAGGAAATAAATGTAAAGGATCCTAGCATATTGGAATCTCATGAGGAGTGGAATCACTTCACCTATGGATGGAAGATAGATCCTACAATCACTCCATAACTCATTCCCTAATGAAGCATCTGTCGAGAATCATCCAAGACACAAAGAAATTCATATTCATAATGGACTATTAAAGGAATTAATCTGTTCCCTCCAATATAAGACACGATTGATAGATGGATTTGGTTGGAAAAGATTCTAAAGATGATATTGCAATTAGAAGAATCAATTAAACCAATATGACGGAATATACTAAGAAATATGCACACACTTCTATCTGAAGAGAGGTTTGAAATTAAAGAAGCCTGCAGCTAATTGGGATTTTCTACAATCACGAAGTCAAGCAATACAACCAAGCTTCAAAAGGAAAGTCGACATCTGCTGAATAGAAGAAGATTCTACATAATCCACCAAGAGATATCCAAGAAAATTATCGCCGTGATTTTAGCAACAGACAGGAAATCAAGACTCAAGAATGTGATAACAAAAGGTCAATATGGAGCCAACACTATAAGTACGAGAAACTGAAGAAGAAAAATTTATGTAACCTTCTATATAATTGTCTATCCAACTAAAAGTTTTTTATTCTACTCTTAACAAGCATTGTAATTCACTTTTAGTAGATTTATTGTGTACACAAAAGAGGAAAGACAAAAAAAATATTGGAAGGGCAGTGTGTCTTGAGAAGTTGTGTCATTGTTTGTTTCTTTGGTGAGCGAGTGAAAACCAATGGGTCGTTGTTGGTGAGCGAGTGAAAATCAACACTTGTTTGTTATTGGTGAGCGAGTGAAAACCAACCCTGTAAATGTTGGTGGTGAACGTTGAAAATCATAAAAGTTGTACTTAACTCAAATTACAAAGAGCTCAAGAGATAACATCCTTTGCAACCCAAGGAGACTAGATTAGAATACCACATTGGTTCCGAACCAGTATAAAATTTCTTGTGTCGTTTATTTTATTGTTCTCATATTTGATTATACCCCTTTAGTGTTTGTTGTGAGTAGTATTTGTTTAACTTGAAGTACTAATAGTTTTAGTGCAGGTTGTCTCTGCATTAGTCGACTAGGTCTGAAGAGTAGTCGACTAAAAATTTAAAAAGGCTACAATCCCCCCCCCCCTTGTACTTTCAGATTTGTTAGAAGAAGTGTATATGGACATTCCACAAGTGTTTTCTACTCAGGGAAGGACATGCAAGGTCTGTAGGTTACACAAGCCATTATATGGCCTCAAATAGGTACCAAGGTAGTGGAACAATAAGCTGGCTGATGCTTTGCTATATCTTGATTTCACCCAAAGTCATTTTGATTACTCATTATTTACTAAGAAAGTACAGGACAGACTAGTGCTTGTCTTAGTGTATGTTGATGACCTTTTGGTTATAGGGAGTTGTCCTCAACTTATTTTGAAAACTAGATGTGATCTGCAACTCAAGTTCAAGATGAAAGATCTTGGTGAGCTCAAGTTCTTCTTGAGCATTGAGTTTGCTAGATCAAGGGAGGATATTGTCATGAATCGTAGAAAATATGCTCTAGAGCTAATTGCTGAGCTAGGACTTGGAGGAGCTAAACCTGCTAGTGCTCCATTAGAGCACAATCAAAAACTCACCTCTGCAGACTACGACAGATCACCCGCTACCTGATGCTAGCCAATATCAAAGGCTAGTAGGGAGACTTTTGTTTCTGACAATGACTAGGGCAGACATTGCATTTGCTGTTCAGGTCCTTAGCCAGTTTATGCATAAGCCCAAACAATCTCATATGGAAGTTGCACTAAGGTTAGTAAGGTACATCAAGAATGCACCTGGTCTGGGATTGTTGATGCCCTCTGAAAGCTCTAGGAAACTAAAAGCCTACTGTGACTCAGATTGAAGAGGCTGCTTGCAAACTAGAAAGTCTATTACAGGTTATCTGGTGAAGTTTGGAAATGCCTTAGTCTTTTGGAAGTCAAAGAAGCAAGACATTGTGGCGAGGAATTCTGCAGAAGAAGAGTTCAGAAGCATGACTTCAGTAGTGGCTGAATTAACCTGGTTAACAGGTCTATACAAAGAACTAGGAGTGGAGGTTCAATTGCAGCCAATTCCATATTCCATGAACGCACAAAACACATTGACATAGATTGTCTTATTAGAGAAAAAAATATTCAAGGAATAGTAAAGACACATAACTAAACTGACTAAGAATTTGGGAAAGCCACAACATGATTATCTACTATCCAAGCTGTGGTTGAAAGATGTATTTTAACCACCAGCTTGAGGGAGGGTGTTGAAGTATCTAGTATGAGTCATAGTTGTCAAGCAACTCTTTAGTTCATTCTGTTAGGTAGTTAAAGTCTTTAGGTGACAGCTGTCACCAGCTAAGTTAATAGAGGTAGTTAGTGAAAGTTAGTTGATTGTACATTTATATACATAGCTATTGTACAAAGATAGACATATGTTTGATTTCAATGAATGAAATGAGTTAATTCTCTGCTCAACTCAACCTCTCATTTGTGCTTCCAAACTTGATCAACTGGTTCTAGATCTTAACAAGTGACTTGCTTTCACGACTCGAATCCATGACCTATAAATCACACGAAAATAATTTTGCTGTTGTTCTAAATCTCCCCTTCGTCTCGTCCTTATAATTCGATTTGAGAAACACTATGTATCCAAAAGTATAGCTCCCCACGAAACATAAACATGTGTGCACGCTCATGGCACCTCATAATAAAATTCCAAATTAGTGGATGGGCGTAAAGAAAAAGAGAAAGGCGAAGCATTAGAGAATAAATGCCACTCGCATGCACTTTAAAATTTATTTTTCTTTTTTAAACCTATTAAATTATCTAATGTCAATGAGTATACTAGATTAATTTATGTCCTCCAATAGATTAATTAATTTAATCAGTTCAATGTCTCCTCATTAGGTTCGTAGGGGACCACGGAGAATCAAAAAACATTACGTGATTGATGATCATATTTGAAAAATTAAAGTAAGGGTCGAATTGTTTTTCCTCCCTTTTTAAATTAAAAAAAGAAGGGGAAAAAAAATACCCTTTTCCATTTAATGGTTGCATGATTTGTTGGCACATGAACTGGCTTTTCTATCATGTAATTGTAGGTCGATCGTTTAGTAATTTCTCATTCTTTATTTACTCGATTTTTAAGTCGGTGAGATGAATGGAAATAGTGAATTAATGTGTGACTTTGCGTTCATTCACTAGTATATTATATTATCTAGATTTACATTTTATTTTCCTCTCAACCTAAGCAGGAAGTGAAATATATGAACATTGAAATGCAATAAATAAAACGAAAGACTAGTAGATAGCTCTGTCTTAGCTATAGGATTATTTGATAATAAGATTGTTCCTAGATTTTTTTAATTTTTTTTGTAGTTGGGGAGGGATAAAATCTTGTATTTTATTAACATAAGAGAAATACATATTTAAATATCCAGGCGTGACGTCCTTGGATTTTTTGAATCCCCTTATCAAAGTTTCTAGCTCAGCCACGGCTACTTTATTCCAGAAAATAAGCAAATCAAACAATTTTCTTGAATTGGTAATTTATAAAAGGGAGAAAATAATTTGTTTCTATTAAACTATATCAATAATACAGTATAATTTTTCAAGGAAAAGTGCATTAATCAAAGTCAAAAAATTTGCAGTGACCAAGTAGATCCACAAACAATGGGAAAAAGAAAAACTTAGATCCACAAACAGTTTTCCTTATTGCAATAACTACCAATTAATCTACCATAAATTATTATTAAAAAAAACTCCTCTTAAGGATCAAACCGCGGCAGAACAGATAAAGACAAGGACAATCTGAACATATTCTGACTTTTTCGACCCACAAAATCAGTCAACTCTTCCCCCGTAACGCCGGCAACCGTTACTCATCCAATTGTCCTTAACCCCATAATAAATATTAAAAAATCAAAATTAAATAATTTATTAGTAGTAGTATAAGGAAAGAAATATGAGTGTGTAAAAGAGTCTTGCTTTCACTTTCTTGGCCTAGAGCAGAAGCCGTCCACCACTTAAACTCATTCAAAAACCACTAGCATAAAATGGTGAAGCATTTACTGCTTTGTTATAGAAGAATGTTTAAGCTGAACAAGAAAAGGAAAATAATAATTTGCAAAGTTTCAATACTTCAAAAGTATGTGAAGTCACTTTGGAACCAACTTGTTGGTTGCTGTATAGGCAAATCCATCAAGTATAGGAAATTATCACGACAACATTCCTCCTCCACCACCACTGCCGCGCCGCCATCTTCGCCGTCCCGCGGGGCTGTCCCCGACGGTGGCTTTAATGGGAAGTGCTATTGTGATCACTCTAAGGAATCTTTGGAGGATTTGGTTGCCTTGAAGATATGTCTCTTGGGTGATAACCAAATTGGCAAGACAAGTTTCTTGGTTAGTGTTATAGTAATAATAATAATGTTTTTCCTTTTTTTTATTGGATGGTTTTAATTCTTTTTTTCTTTTTCTATTTTGATTAAAGACAAAGTACGTAGGAAAGGAAAAAGGAGAAGAAAGTTTTTCAACAACAGGATTAAATCAAATGGATAAAATTCTGTGTGTTAAAGGGGCGAGGATCTCCTATAGCATCTGGGAAGTCCAAGGTAAATATGCATCCAACAATTTTTTTGGTTCAGTTGTGAAAAGGGTAGCGAAAAAATAGGGAGGGAAAATATATGAATTTGACTGAAACGTTTTTGCTAGCGTTTGCACATAAATTTAGTTGAAACTTGAAAAATGAGTTTTTGAAGATGAAATGCAAAATATATTTTGAAAGTTGAAATTGTGTTTGGACATGCATTTTACTGGAAAATAATTTGAAGTTTTGTGAGTAGAAAACTTCAAAAACTAGTCCAGAACTATTTTTGAGATTTGAAGATTTTATTTTCAAAATCTGCCAAAAATGGTTAAAATCTATTACCAAACAGATATTTGAAAAAGAACTCCGAAATTCTATGGCCAAAGGAGAAGTTAAGAAATTTTCTGAATCCATGATAACAATAATGCAGGTGATGTGTCTGCATCTACTCAAATTCCAGTAGCTTGTAAAGACTCTGTAGCAATGCTGTTCATGTTTGATCTAACAAGTCGGTGTACACTGAAAAGGTATGATATTTTTTATGCCTTCTTAATTTGAAGGAAAACAAGCGAGAGTATTATAAATTAGTTTATGAACATCTTTTCTTGTCTAAATTGTTTTGCTGATCAATTACAGTGTTATTAGCTGGTATCAACAAGCACGACAGTGGAATCAGGTAGAGCAATCTCTTGATTTGGATTTTCTTATTGTTAAATTGCTCTTCTAAAGTAAACTGCTTAAGGGTCTATATGTCTGAAATAGCTTTGTTCATTTCAGATGGCAATTCCAGTAATAATAGGAACAAAGTTTGATGATTTTGTGCAATTGCCATTAGATATGCAATGGACCATCGCAAGTCAGGTATCTGCCTCATTCTCTAATGATACCTCTAAACATAGTAATTGTGGTTAGAAAAGATGGATAAATTTGATATCATCACCTTGTAGAAGGAATGTGTGTTGGGTTCAAAGATAAAAGTCATACGCAGATCAGATGTAACACATGGAAAAATGAATTGAAATTGATAGTTTGAGCATATGTACTATGGACCATATCTTTATTGATTTTGGTTAGATAATGAAAGGAAACTGATATTTACAGCATTTCAATGTGATTTTGAACAGGCAAGAGCATATGCAAAAGCACTGAATGCGACCCTATTCTTCTCAAGTGCAACATACAACATAAATGTGAATAAGATCTTCAAGTTCATCACAGCCAAGCTCTTCAACTTGCCCTGGACGTTGGAACGTAACCTCACCATTGGAGAACCAATCATTGACTTCTAATTTACTTCCATTTTGTATTTTAAAAGAGAAAAAAAAAAAGCAGTGACTGTAGATATGACAAAATCCAGAAAAAGAAATTGGTTCTCAACCAACCGGTCACTGGATTTTGTTTGTATTGCTACAACCAGTGAATATTCGGGTTGTCTTCATATGACATCTTATGCAAAGGAGAAAATTTTCCTTCTTATTTCGTTCTTGCTGTAGGTACTGATATACCAGGGTGGATAAAGTTAATTATGGAGCATAACAAGCAGCTGCAGCACGAACTAAAACCCACAGAAGGTGCAACAGCTATAATAACAAAGCCGGAAAAAAACTAAGTAGTGAAATCAACCATGGCCAAGGTTTTCTAAAAAAAGATGAAATTTCCACCATACCAGAAACTCCCAGGAAATCATTCATTCCTAGAAGAAAGATAGAAGTTGCAATCAGAGTCCATTTAGTAGTCGCCAACAAACATAACGAGCAAAATAGTGTAGTATCTCGAAGTTCTATCTATATCATCATTTTAAATTAGATATTTCCCCTTATTAGAACACAGGAAAAAAATAGAACATAAACTTTCAATCTTCATCGGGGGAATATTTTGGTGTGAACAACCTTCCAAAGTGCAGATTCCTATCGTCAAGTAACACCTAGAGAGACAGGATCGTAAACAACCTTATTAAAGGTTTAGATTATAGCAAAAGCAAGGCTCTATTCGAGGTGCACTTCTCTCTTGGGGGGCTCCAACTGCAAGTAATAGAATGGCTCAGTGGGCTCTTCCCTGCACAACCATGTGGCATAGAAAGTTACATAAGCCTTCTTTTTATCATGATAGGAACATAAATTTATGCCAACTGAAAGCAATAAGCAGAACTTTCAATTTATTGCTTAGAGTAAAATTGGCACTTCATCCATACTGTATTTCTTTGTTTCTTTTTCTTTTTTATACGATTCCTACTTGTTTTTTTGTTTCAGTTGTTGGAAAATTATCGCTTTAGCCTCAATCACAAAATATTTAACAAGTGGTCTTTTGAGGATCTAAAAGCTATTTGACATACCCTCAAAGTATTCTTCAATATCTACTATATTTTTCCCCCATTTCTCGCCTTCTCTTAGTTTCTCTCTTCAAGTTTACCCGTTTCCCTCTCCAACCCCAGAAAAAAATCTTCCTTCTACATGATTTTTCTTACCACTTTCAAAGATGTTGATACTGAAGGTCGTTGCTATCACGAGTTGTTCCTTTCAACATCTAAGCTTAGGTACCAAACAACCTAGTTCATGATTGTCAAAACTTGACACTTTGCTCCAAAGATTTTAGTGCTTTAGTAACTTCTGTACATAAAGTTTGGCCTATTTGTATTAAATATTAACAATCTTCACAAGTATATATTTTATTGATGCAAATGACAATTTTTTCAGATTTTATATAGAATAATTGTTCAAGATTTTCAACTATAATCCAGGATCTCTTTATAGATAAATAAAAAAATAAAATAAAAAAGTAAGCCAATATTTAATTTGAAATTCAATATTTATAAGAAGATGATTGTTATGTGTTAGATGACATATAATGACATAACACCACAACTATGTCACAGTAGTCTATGGAACAATGAATTAAAGCTTACCCAGGCTTCGAACGCATGCACCGCCAGAATAGCTTGAAAGGCCCTGGTATCGTTTTAAATGGATTGCCCTCAAAACACGCCTGCATAATATTAGAAATACTTCAGCTGAAAAGGCAAAGATAAACAAGCACAAAATGCTATGTTGTACATGTGCACTGGTAATACTACAGAATCTGCAACAGCAGTGGCGAACTCAGACATTCAAAAGAGTTGAGTATCTGATTTAGGAAACAGGGGCAGAATGTAACCAACAAATCGATACCGGTATACTGAACTTATAGCAGCCCCCCCCCCCCCCCCCCCCAAACCCTAATTTTTTTTAATTCAGTGAGCTATGGTAAAGCTACTTAAAGGTTTTCTTTTTCTTTTTAGATGCAAGTGTAATTTGGTCTAGAAGCGGGAAGTTGGAACAGATACGGATTTTTCCAGAGCTGAGTTCCTTCTAGTGGTTCAATGTTTTGCAGTGAACCAAAAAGTAGACAATGGCCCATTACTATGGATGCTTAAAGTCTTTCTTTTTATTTGGACCACTTGTTGTAGCAGTAGATAATATTTAGCAACTAACCATTCATTAAAGCAAACAAAATCGGAAGTAGAAGTTGACATCTACGACCTTTTGGTGAAACTTTTACGCGACCTAATCTTAGGGAAGAAATTCTAGGTGGGATTCCCGATTTGTTCTCACTCAAAAGAACAACTCTTGAATCGCACAAGTGTCATCTTTCATCCTTTACTACTTCTTCGGCCCTCTGAACCATCATATTCCCATGCACAAGCCCAGAAGTACTCTGCTGTTAATGCCACAAAACATATCCAGGATTCTTCCCTAAGCATTATTACTCTTCCTTTACCTGCTTTTAGACTAATGAAACATTATTTTTGCATCTAGGTTTCGCATCACGGATTTTACAGTTAGAAAGTGGAGCTAAATGGTTCTTAGATGACCTCATCTTTTAGCAAAATCCCCAAATCAGTTAAGTGTATGGATTGTAGTCTCCTTATATGCTCCTGAATAATACGCATCACTTGAGCAATGTTTTAAGATTTGAGTTTGGTCCAAAGTCCATTTTAAGATAATATCAGAGCAAGAGCCAGCCTTAGGCATGTGGATGTAACAAACCCAACATCAGTTTTTTTTCTCATTTTTAGAAACTAACAAAATGCGTCGAAACAACTTTCACTGCTCAAACTCCAGGCTAACCACAAATCCAAGTTAATATGTGTCTTTTTAGAATCTAATCGGGAAACAGTTAATCAATTAGACCGAAATGCTAACATTCACCAGAATACGCATAAAGATTCATGAATCAGTATTGATATCAAATAATCAAACACAACAGCAATAATTCAATAAAAACTGCAGGGCGAAATACAGACTTGGAAGGGTAAAATAGAGAAAGGGGGTTAAAAGGGAGGGGTTTAGAAAGATGACCTGAACAACATCCTCGACGCGGTCGTTGCATCGATGGGCCTTAGGTTGTCTGGCACCTTCAGGCAAACCCCATGGACTCTCTCTTCGGGGCACTGTTCTCTCACTCATCTTCCTTCTCTACTCTCTCTAACGTATCTTTCAAGTTTCAGCCAACCTTGGAAAATTTACGACTGTCTTTGTCTTTCCTCTTGAATCTGAGTATTTCGGGTCGGGCTCAGTCCACTAAGAGCCCATTTGGACATAACAAATTTTTATTTTGGCGAAATACATAAGTCGCTCCTTAAGTTGTCACCAACAATCAGATGACCACTTTAACTGAGTTTATTTTCAATTAAACACTTTAAGTGGCTATTAAGTGTATCATATAAACACCGACTTAGTCAACCCACCTCGCGTGTGATCTACTTATTGTTGACATGTCAAATGAGCCAATCAACTAATGACACATATAATTTTAAACAATAAAATCATCACATATAATTAAAAAACCAGGAAAAAACTAAAAATCAATTTCCCTTTCCCTTTTTTTACAAAAAGTTCAATAGATCATCCTCTTCCCCACCTAAGGCTGTATTGTGGTCCGGGCTCAACCCGGGACCTGCCCGGGACTGCGAGCCCCACATGGGTTTTGGGCTAAACGGGCCGGTCCGTATGGTCCGATCCCAAGCGGTCCTAAGAGCCCACTGTGGGCCGGTCCTGCATGTAGAGACCGCGAGCCCGGTCCGCTGGCGGGCCTGGGCCGGTTCAACC